TTCGTTATTTCGCGAGGCATCCTTCCTTTGACGGCTATTGCGGTATCATCTGCGAACAGGAAAAACACGCAACCGTCTCCAAGGGGAGGAATGTCGGAAGTGTAAATGCTGTAAAGCAAGGGGCCCAGCAGACTGCCTTGCGGGACTCCTGCTGGGATGGAAAACGTGTCGGAAAGACAACCATTCAACGATACCTTAAACGACCTTTGCTGGAGGTAGCTACGGGTGATTTTAACCAGATGTAATGGAAAGTTGAAGTTACAAAGCTTGTATACAAGCCCATTGTGCCAGACATTATCAAACGCTTTCTCAACGTCTAACAAGGCCATGGCTGTGGACTTGGATACAGCTTTGTTACTTCGGATGTTATTCATCACCCGCACTAGCTGATGATTGGTGGAGTGCCCCTTTCTGAATCCAAACTGTTCCGGAAGGAGAATGTTGCTTTCCTCGACAAACTTGAGCAAACGATTGAGAATGAGTTTCTCGAACAATTTGCTCAGCGCTGAAAGGAGGCTTATTGGTCTGTAGCTTGAAGCTAGCGTTGGGTCCTTCCCGGGTTTGCGGATAGGTATGATTTTCGCTGTCTTCCAGATACTTGGAAAGTAGTGCAGTTCCAAGCATCTGTTGAAGACAGCAGCCAGCAGAGAGTGAACCTTCATGCTGAGATTTTTCAACACTAGGTTGAATATTCCGTCAAACCCGGGGGCCTTCATGTTTTTGGTGCATTTCAGCGCTGAGCAAATCTGTTCCACTGTGATTCTATCCTCCGGAGGGATGGCACAAGGGGAGGAATCAAGGTTGAGTACGCATTGCTCAACCTGAACTTCGAGCGGACTTTGGATGTTGGAGCCAAGCAAGTGCGATTTGGCAATATGCTCACCAATCGCATTTGCTTTCTCCTGAGGGGTGATTATGAGCCGATCGTCATCATTTTCATCTTTTAGTGGCGGAATGGGTTTAGGGTGCGTCTTTAAGACCTTGGCAACTTTCCAGAATGGTTTCCTCGCTAGATCTCCAGTCCTCTGAAACTGGCGTCTACGAACATTTCTCAGGCGAATTAAGAGTTGGGTGTGGGAATCAATGGCAATAAACTTACCCCTCACAGGAACTCGTCGGACGCACGCCTCGTCAGCCACGGTTATGGCTTGGTGGAGTACTTCCAACGCTCGGTCGATGTCCTCCACGGAGTCAAGCGGCGGGTTGTCGATGATGTGCCTGTCTACCACGCGTCCAAACTGGGCCCAGTTTACGCGATGGTAGTCCTTGCGCAGGCTTGGAGCAGCAGCTACGTTGTATCCCAGTTCAGCCACCACCGGTTGATGGTCGGAGCTGAGTTCGTTTAAGGCTACCGGCTTGGACAAGCCGGTATTTGAAAGAAACAGGTCTAGCGTCGATGGGTTGCCTGCCGGTGAGATGAATGTTGGCTCGTCCGAGAACCAAACGGAGTACAGCCCATGATGCGAATGGTCGAACAGCAGACGACCGTTCTGGTTCTGCTGGTAGTTCCGCCATGCCTCATGACGAGCATTCAGATCTCCTCCAACAACGAAGCGGGAACCGGTACGGGTGATGGTGGACAGGTCCTTCTTAAATTTAGCCGCTAGTCCACTGCTGGCGGCACACTGTCGAGGGCAGTAGACGGCGATGAACTGGACGTATCCAGTCGACGACTCCACCTCCACACCAAGGGCCTCGATGATAGTGGTGCGGATATGGGACAGAGTGTGGTATTTTATTCCTTTCTTGACGACGACCGCAACACCACCCCCCCTGGAGCTGGTGCGATCAAGCCGGATAATGTTGTGGTCAGGCAACCAGAAGCTGTCGCCGGACTTTAGATGGGTCTCGGTTAGAAGGCCCACGTCGATGCTGTGCTTGCGGAGGAAGTCGGCAAGCTCAATATCTTTTGCTCTTACAGAGCAAGCATTCCAGGTGACGATAGTTAGCGGTTTAGACGCCATACTGGATGATGAACTTACCGAGCACCTGGATCTGTTCGGGCTTATTGCGGCACTTACGAAGAACACCGGACATGTTGACGAAAATTTCCATCAGTTCATCCGCTGAGAACAGATCGGGGTTGTTGTTTTGCGCTGTTGGTTGTCTCCAGAATCCAGGGGGGGATGGAGAGCTTTGGCCAGCAAAATCACCGGAAGCTTCTTGAGGGGGGGCGGGTTGCACCCGCGAATTCGCTTGCCTTTGCTGGGGAGCACGAAGAGGCGGAAAATCCTCCGTCCTGAATGCTGGGGTTTTGTCCTTCTTGCGTCCTGGTTGATTGTTGCTTGACGCCTGCTTTCGGATGCGTTTGAAGTCCTCGCGTTTGGAGCACTGTCTGTCGGAACCTTGATGTGCACCACCACAGTTAGCGCATTTTATCGCCACGGCTCCATCCGCAGGGCAGTTGGAAGTGGCGTGTTCTTGAGCGCAGTTGCTGCAGCGTGGCTTGATGTTGCAGTTGCGGGTACCGTGTCCAAAATTGAGGCACCTCATACACTGCGTTACGTCACGATGGCCGCCACGGTATGGCTCCCACCGTACGATGATGGAGCAGATTGATCGGATGGCTTGTAGCGCATTGAGCGTCACCGTCCCTTTCTGGAAGTGCACCAGGAAAAGACAATCCGGGTACGTCTTCACGTTTTCGTCTCTCCTTGTCATTCGGAAGACAGCGATTGGGGCAAGCTTGTACCGGTTGATTTCAGCTTCGACCATCTTGGGGTCGAAGTTTGGTAGACCCCTGATGACTACCTTGAAGGGCTTCTCACCGGGGATGTCGTGCGTGAAGAATTCCGCCTTGGTATCCTTCAGATATTTCACGGCCACTTCGTACTCCGCTTTGGTTCGGAGCATCACCTTGGTGCCGATCCTGCCGAGCTTAAACTCAGCTGCAACGCCCAGCGATGAAAGATCGCCAATCAGCGTGTTGAGTGGGACTTGCTTCACCACCAGTGGAGGAAGCTTCATTTTTGCTGCACTCGGGCTGGCAGCAGTTTCGTTGTCGACGGCGTCGCCGAAATCACCAATGACGCTGACGTTCGTCGCGGTGGCATCGTCCCGTCCACTCGCACCATCGGACTGGCCTTGATTTTTCTTCCTCTTCTTAGACCGCTTCACCGTGGCTGAGGTGGGATTCCCTACATCGGTGGGAAGAGTAGCGTACCTATTCGAAATAGGTACACTCAAGCTACCCTCACCGCTGTTCTTCTTCTCCGTTTTCTCTCGGAGCCTGCTCCGGGAGCGCTGTCTTCCCATCACACGAAGCGACCGACACTACTGGCGACGCGATTAAACTGCGAATGTTTGGAACAAACTAGAAACTTTTGAACAACTCGACAGAGCGAGCAAAGACCGAACTGTACTGCTTGACGTTCAAGCAGAGAATCGAGATCATACAGCCTATCAACGGGTGTTTGCTTATAGCACAACTCCCCAGCAGACGATCGTTGACGGACAAGTTTACCAACATTTGAAAGCTCTTTTAATGTAGTTTCAGTTACATTTGGTTTCGTCTGCACCTATCTGCATCAATGAAAGATACACGAGTCCAAAGTATAAGGAAAATTGAAGAATATTTCTCAACTACTCATGATGCAGGTATAGTACGTTCAAGAAAATTGTGTATTTTAGTTTGACAAACAACTTTGTAGAACATTGCGAAAACCTAAAATAAAAGAAAATGTGTATTTTGGAAAAAAAAATAAGTGTTTTTGGGGGTCCGTCTTCAAACAACCCTCTCTATTTAGAGTTTGGTGAAATATACGACTTTCATGTCTTGAGCAAAATTGTTTGTAGCAATTTTTGCTATAACTATAACCCTCTATCTCGACATTGTAAAAAAAAGCCTCTCACTTTGAGGGTGAATAATCACAAAACTCATATCTTCCAAAGATTTAAGCTGTGACAAAGGCTTTTAAACCACTGTGCAAGGTGGTCATTCTCTAAAACAGACCTGATAGGACTAGGAACTGTAAATAATAATTAAAATTTCAAATGCACTAAAGTTGAAAAGACGCATCTGTGTCACGTCATCTGTCTGATAATTCATACATGTAAACTAATAATAATCGAACAAGAAACTGCTAGCCTGCAAAATTGTAAGGACCTGAAAGATGATGAAATATATTTATTATCATCAAAAAAAAAACTTAAACGAACCTCAGTTAAAAAGTTAATAAAAAACCGGAATCTCCATGTCAAGAATTAGGCGTTAATATTCAGTTCTACTAAACTCATCACACTGACTTATCCCCGCGAAACAACTTCAACACCAACCTCCCCCACCTGCCACTATAATGGCTGCCGAAAATTGCCCATCCAGCAGTGAAAACCCACTCACTTCCATTCACATTTCACTCCATTCACTGGCCGAACGAAGAGCCTTCCGAACGACGACAAGACAACAAACGAACCAAAAACCTTGAAAGGACATCATTCGCTGCGTCAAAAACAGCAAACTTAATTACGATCGGCTGCGAAAGATAAAAGCTCAGCAAACAATAGGTGCAAAAAGCATCAACCATCGACAATGTTCGTGTTGCGCTGGCCGCCTCCAACTAGGTTGTGAAGGGAATTAAGACAGCAAGCGCAGAGCTCGGTTCGGATTTGGTTGGAGGACGGCCGGCAGATAAAACCCTGGACCGATGGGCTTAGCAACGTAGCGAGAAAAAAAAAGTGCCGTTGTCGGCAAAAATGAACCAGAATTAGAGAGGAGAAAACGCTTATCGCTGCAGCTGGTTTACAACGGAACAAGAAACAAATTTAAGACCCGAACAAATGTGGGTGTGTTGAGCGGTGATTGTTCCGCAAATGAATTTCTCTTTATTCTATTTAGGCTTGCAGGGATCAATCTTGAAATTGCCAAGAGGTGGGAATTACGGAAAAACGAACAAACTCTGATTGATGGTTTTCCACCACTAAGACAGCAACCGACTTTACGAACCACACCAAGCTCCCAAGCGGAAGGGCATTCGGATAAAATGAGAAAACCGCAAAAGGGGAAAAGCCATTAAACCTATTTGTGCTATAAAATAATTTCATTAAACTCGAAACACATCTCTACATCGGATAGAAGTGTCACAGGATCAGGTTCTGCTGCTGTGGTCAGATCCACTCGGCTACCGGAGATTGCCCCGGTTACCCAGCAGCGGCGACCCTTGGCCAGCTCCCCTGGCATATAATCTCGGAGTAAAAAATTAAATTCACTGATTGTTTCGGTTGCGGCTGGCGCAGACCCTCTCGTCTTCCTAATGCTAGTTCTGGTTCTACTCTTATTGTTATTATCGTTTCCGTTACAGTCACTAACTCTACAGCTGCTGCAACTACTGCTCGAAACTGTCCCTGTTGTCGCTGTTGGTGATTTGTGTTTTACGGTGTTGTAGCTGTCGTGTTCAGCCGTTGTTGCTTCTGCTGTCCTCGTTGTTCGATTGTGAAAATTGTCCTCGTCGTCGTGGTCACTCTTCCGATGGTCCTCTAGCGGTCATTCATCCCACAGGCACTGCTGCTTCTCCCGTACGTAGTACGAGTATTGATGGCACTTGCGGCAAGTTTTGATGCCACAGCGGTAGCTGGAACCCCCACCACCGCCACCGTTCAGCAGCGGATTGGTGTCCGGTTTACCCTTGCAGTACTTGAGCCCGCAGGGGTACCATCCGATGCACATCTCCAGCGAGCAGATGCACGGGGCCCAGATGGCGGACACGTCACTACAGCGGGACGGTGGACTCCCGGTCGTCACCGACGGAAAGGGCTTCACTGCCGATTCCAGGATAGATATGGAGGAACCTGAAAGGGAAAAGAAGGGACAGACGGGTCTGTTAGAATGCAACTTTTCTAGTAATTAAAAATGCAGGTTTATTCCGAAATATAGGGCGGGTAAATGCGGGAAACGAATTACTAAGCATAAAGTACTTTCAGACTAGCGTGCTTGTTTGTTCGGAAAAATTCTACTCTAATCCAATTCAGTCTCGGTTCAAATTTGTGTTTATCATGTTTTAGCTGTCTCTTGCTGGTTCGATTCTAGGGCGATCCAACGTTGCGTTTTTTGCTTGAAATTAACAGGATCAAATGTAAATTATTTTGAATGTTTAGATGTGCTGGGGTTTTCTTCAGAAAACGAAATAGGAGAAGTGCAATTTGCTTCGGTTTTGAAATGTACCGGTCATGGCTTATTTTATTAATTAATTTGCATTTGCCATAACTGGCTCACTTGCCTTATACCCCGTTCACATTACAGCGTATATCACGTGATATACGCTGTCTTGCAATGAGCACTCATACATCTAGTTTTCATTGGAAATCCTATGTATGAGTGCTCATTGCAAGACAGCCTATATTACGCGATATAGGCTGTAATGTGAACGGGGTATTATGTTCATGATTAATAGATTGATAATTGAAGATGTCGGAATGGTAATATCTGTCATAATTCTTGATCGAGTCAGGGGAAACGAGTCAATGCAGCCATTTCCATGCCATCAACGTCATCTGTAGTGAACCAAATAGCGAATCTATACTCCAACCATAATCATTTCGAACACCCTTGTACCCCGTTCACATTACAGCGTATATCACGTGATATACACTGTCTTGCAATGAGCACTCATACATCTAGTTTTCACAGGAAATCCTATGTACCGTATGCGTGATAATGTTTGCACCATCGTACAAATAAGGTTCCCGTTTCACCTGTGCATACAATGCCTTGGTTTTCTTTGCATGCACGTAACCTATAGCTCATACCGTAGTAGGCTGTGTATAAAATAAAATGATTTACTTAGTTTGACAGTTGCACCATGACGAAGTGGCAGCGTATTTGTGATTTGTCCCACGGCACACTTCGCAAAAAGACATTTCAATCGCCGTGGGATTGTCCCGTTGGACCGTCAAAAGGGTTTTAGACCGAGAAAAGAAAGGACAACTATCCGTGAAGGTGGCCACAGGTCGTCCGAGGTCAGCTCGGGTTCCGAGGGTTATCGCTGCTATCAAAAGGAAGATTCGGGTGAATCCAGTTCAATAAGGAAAATGGCAAAAGAACACGGGATCAGTGACTTTACGGCACGGAAGATCGTAAAGGAAGATTGCGGGGCGAAGTCGAGGGCACGAAAAAAAAACTCACATGATTACCAACCGTATCCGAGAGCTACGAGTCGAACGATGCAAGAATATCTTGAACTTCCTTAAGCGAAAACAAATCCGGTAATCCTGTTCACCGACGAGAGCATGTTTACCGTCGATCCCGTATCAAATTCCAGAACCGACCGGTATATTAGTTCTCTTCCGGTAAAAGACGTGGCCGACGAGCACAAGAACGTGTATCTGACCAAGCATCCTGCTAGCGTTATGGTGTTTGGATTGGTGGCTTCCGATGGCAAAAAATGGACCCGGTGTTCATTCCAGAAGGCGACAAGGTCAAGTATGTTCCTCCGTGGATCAAAGAACAGTCCGGTCCGAAGCCAAATGTGGTATTTCAACAAGATGGGGCTCCGTGCCACACCTCGAACCGCACTCAGAAGTGGTTGCAGGAGCATCTTCCGTTCTGGGCGAAGGATATGTGGCCGCCATTCAGCTCCGATCTTAATCCGCTGGATTACTCAATATGGCCGCGTCATGAAGGCCAAGGCCTGTTCTGAACGCCACCCGAGTACAGCAAGCCTCAGACAAACATTGACCGGTACCTGGAGAGAAATGGATCCAGACTACATTAGTAGAACCTGCCGTGCATTCCGGAAGCGTGTGGATGCCGTAATTGCAGCAAGTGGAAACTCGATCGATGATTAACATATGTTCAGACTTTGAAAAACATCTTCTCTTTGAATAAATAAAAAAAACTCAAAAACCATATTTTTGAGAATTTTTTTTAATTTTGACATTGCTTAACCCAAGTAACAATTCAGTAGCCATTTAGCATCCACTCTGATTTATGATGGTTTTATAACGGCAATGAACAATCCATTTAGTTTAAATATAGCATTTCAAAGGGTAAAACATTCCTGGTTAGTAATTCAGCTTTTTCTGTTTTAATAACCTTTTATAGTCTGGCAAGAAAGCCAAAAACTGTCTTGTTTTAAAAATAAAATTAAAACAGTTCTCAATCCCTCCTTAAAACTGCTCTGTAATTCAAGCATAAACGTCATTAGCGATTGTTTATTCATGTCTTGTTAAAATACTTTATAAAAGTGTTCTATCATTATAAAAACAACCATAAAACCAGTAGGTTTTGCATTGGAGCAAAAAGCATATATTGTTGCTTTTTAAAGTACATCATAAGCTCCTTAAATTACTTTCTTAGATCGGATTCATAAATCCTATTCTAGCATCACACTTAGAAATAACTAATTTTACACGTGACGGAATCCATCTTTGACATAAAGTTTGAGACGTAAACACACATGTCATGTAAAACTAAGGGCTCTGAGACTGAAAAGTTCGATACTCAACAAAAATTATGTTTGATTGAATTGAATTACGCGTCTGTTATGACTTAATTTTATGTCAAAATTGACACTCGTATATGTCAGTCTCAGAGCATCTAAATTTACATGGATTTTTCTAAGTATGTTGATTGATACTTTCCTAGTGGATTCAACATGCGGCTAGGGGAAATGGCTCGGAAGGGGTTTTTAGTGTTGCTAAATAGCTTTTATTGTAGCTTTCAAATGATTCTAAATCCGTTCGTCATATAACCTTTTGCAGTAAATCAATCTTGAAGAGCTTCGATAATACACCCTTCAAAACCTTCTCCAGGGTGGGCCAACTAGACATATTCTAGTCTTAATGAGGTTTTGGTGGTTGCATTAATGACAAAATAGACTTAGCCAGGGTTTTATGAATGTTGTTTTATAGTTGCTTGTAGTATTTCATAAACCTTAAAATGTTACTTGGGAATGGTGCAAACATTATCACGCATACGGTATGAGTGCTCATTGCAAGACAGCCTATATTACATGATATAAGCCATAAAAGGCGAACACGAAATTATTGCGACACCGAAAATGTCATGCCAATTTTTTTATAATGTTTAGAATCAAACCAAAATTTTAGGGTAGTTTTATACATATATTTACATCAAAAATCAAAAGAAAAGTTAATCGATGGAGCCTTGAGTGTAAAATTGAACGCATTTTCGCTTGATGCCCTCCATCAAAGTCTTTACAGTGTCATCCGGTACCAGTTTCTCAGTTTTTTTTTCCATTTTCTTAACATGTCCTTCTCGTCTTTGACTGTCTTCTTGCTCTTCCGAAGTTCCCGCTTCATTATTGCCCAGTACTGCTCCACCGGGCGCAGCTCCGGACAGTTTGGCGGATTCATGTCCTTTGGAACAAAATGGACAGAATTGGCCTCATACCACTCCAGGACACTGTAACCGTTCTGTTACAAAGGTTCAATACAATATTTTAAATATGCACCATGTGACCGAGCATTCAAATAAATTTGTGTAACACTTGCGGTGAAACCCACTGGGCAGACGACACGGCCATGCTTAACGGCCGACTGCTGAATAAGGCGCGCATGGCCGCGGCAAAATGGTGACACGAAGTCACGGGTGATGAGCTGAAGGGTTCTGCGATGCTTAGAGAACGGCCATCGTTCACTTTATCTCAGGCGAGCGTGTAGACCAGAAGTGTCTGTGGAATACATGTTAACAGAAAACAGTGCGAGTAGTGAATCAAGGTGCAGTGGAAATCACCAATTCAGCTGATTCAGGACTTTTCTTTTCAACCAATCAAATGGTTTTCTGGTTGGCGAGTCAAGGACCGCCATTGCACGCTACGGTCTAGGTGACATTGAGTTACCTTGACCTAACCGCAAAGGACATTGTTCTCGGGCTGAAGGCCCTAAACGCCAAGGAGAATTTCCCTTCCCGGTTCGACAGAGGGCGGCCTTGCCGTCGTCGACCGGCTTCGTCAGAAGGAAGCGCCTGTGCATCGGAACCATCTCCACAAACCGCTATACCAGCCCGGTAAAACCAACCCGCCATCGCACTACGGCCGACGTTCGGTCAGCCTCGCTTCGTCCGCCATTGCCGGAATTGTACCGCAATTTCACCGAGCGGTGGTACCGCCATCTTGCCGACAAGATCGGCCTTTAAGGATCTTTCCGGAACCACAGCGAGCGCTCGCTGGTCTGCAGTCGTCGTAGTCACCATCGTCATCAAGGGTATGTGCCAAGAAAATCGAACACAACACCACACAATCCACACTATCGGTAGTTGCAGAAATACAGTGTTTAAATTGATCCGCGTTGTGTTTTAGTTTAATTGAAAGCTTGAGTGCCTTTTCATCCGCGTAGCCCCTCCAGTTTGCCCAGTAGTGCGCCGACTCTGAGACACAGTTCAAGGAGTCTCGTGCTGCTGAGTTGTTGTCGGGCAGAACATTAGTTTCAACACTTTTAGAATAGTGACATGATGCCAAATCTAGCCAAAATAGCGGAGCTTCGTCGTGCTGCTGCAAGAACGGCAAAAAGCGCTTCTCGAGGCACTCAGATTTGTAGATCTCGCCATTTACTGTGCCCTTTGTCACGAAAGGCTCACTCCTCAGTCCGCAAGAGCAGATGGCCTGCCAAATGAGATATTTGGAGGTGAACTTCGACATTTTCTTCTTCTTAAATTTGTCGTCCACATCGAACTTGCTCTTGCCGGTGAAAAACTCCAACCCCGGAATTTGCTTAAAATCGGCTTTTATATACGTTTCGTCGTCCATCACACAGCAGCCATATTTTGTCAGCATCTTCTCGTAGAGCTTCCGTGCCCGAGTTTTAGCCGTCGATTGTTGCCGCTCAGCGCG